AAAAAAAAAAAGAAACTGTCCAGATGACCTGACTGAAAAATGTTGTAAACTTGAGTATCATTGTGACACTTAACACACATGTCCCTGTGAGGGACTGAGACCTGTCCCCCGCCCCCTCACAGGCCTGCAGGAGTTGGACACCAGCTCTCTGTGACCCGCAACAGAAAACAGCTGATGAAAATGGATGGACTGTGCTCCGTTGTGATTAAAATAAGGGTTTGTGACATTTGAAAAGCATCACAGTTTGTTTTAATCTACATTTTATACAACATCATTCTAACATTTTCCAAAATATAGTTGTAAATTTTCATCACTTCTAGTTTACAGTGAAAGAAACACGTTTCGTTAACAACATCAAGGCTGTCTGATCTTGTCTAAGCTGAGGAGCAAGTCCACACAACCTGTGTAGAGAAGGGTCAGCTCCTCCAGTCCAGCTTCTTCTGGGCAATACAAGATTTATTCTCTTACTACCAAACACTTTAACTGCTGTTCTTTCATTAAATGGACTCAAAGGTTTTCATTTTCAGTCAAACACTGTAAACAAATGTGAATGGTTTGATTTTATTTTTCTTTAATAATTATAAAGCATATAAACATTTCCATGTTTAAAGACATTTAAAAATAATCTGGTGACTGAATATTCTCCTGCAGAATCACTTGTGTTGTCACTGTGTGGTTAATGTTCTACAAGGTAAAGTTCTGCCAGCTAGTTAAAACAATCCACTTCTACATGAAGTGGTTGAGCCCATCATCGAGACCTTTCTCAGAAGCTGCCCCTGAGCACAGCTTCCTGCTCAGCCGGAGCCTCTCCGTGTCTTTACCTTCTTGCTCCAGGTTCAGACGAACAGTGAACATCTTCTCGTGTCGACGTCGTCTCCGCAGCTTCCGGTCGCAGCTCCGCAGCTTCTCGTCCGTTTCTCGCAGCTTCTGCCGCAGAACATCGTTCTCCTCCTGGCATTTTTCTCGCTCCTGCTCCATCTGAGAGCACAGCGCAGTGTAACCATCTTCCACCAGCCTGCAGATTTCCACCACGGCCGAATTGGCCAGGATCTCTATGACCGAGGCGATCTGTGCTTGGAGCCCTGAACTGTCCGCCATGACGACCTGCTCCGAGCCCTCCTGTCCGGACAGATGTGCACAGATGTCCATTGATCCGCGCATTGATGAGGCCTGACTGATACTGCGGGCAAAGCTCCGTGTGAAGCTAAAATCTGCTCCGTATTGTGCCCAGACGGGTTGTTTTCGTTCAGCGGCAGGTGTCGCCTCTTAATGACGTCACTCGAGAGCGCCATAATATTTTCGGTCATTATTCGATTGTAAACAGGTGGTCACAGAGGGACGTTTCCACTTTTGGTAGGATTTTATTAACTAAGATGGACAGTCTTTCCAGATTTATTTATCCAGCTTATTCCCTTCCTATATCAACCAAGATGATAAAGGCTATTAACACTTTAAATAAATTTTAATTACATTTGGAGGAAAAAAAAATCACTATATACGTAAAGATTACCTGATTAAAACTTACGAAGACGGTGGAGGGAATGCAATACACTTTGAAATTATGAACGATACCTTAAAACTTAAATGGCTAAATTTTTTCTAAATAATAATCTCTCAATTTGGTCATATATGTACTTGGGTGTACACATGAATGACAACCTCAGGTGGAGCAACAACACCACCAGCCTGATCAAGAAAGCTCATCAGAGACCCTACTTCCTCAGACGGCTGAGACGAGCTGGTCTGGAAGCTCAGTCCTCACCTCCTTCTACAGGTGTGCAGTGGAGAGCATCCTGTGCTCGAGCATCAATGTGTGGCATGGAGGCTGCACAGCTGCAGAAAGAAAAGCTTTGCAGAGAGTGGTGAAGGCTGCACAGAAGACTGTTGGAGTCAGTCTCCCCACCATCACATCTACACCTCCAGATGCAGGAAGAGGGCCACCTGCATCATGAAGGACCCCACCCACCCAGCACACACACTTTTTGCCCCACTCCCCTCAGGAAGGAGGTTAAGGAGCATTAAGTGTAGAACCACTAGACTGAGGAACAGCTTCTACCCTGAGGCTGTTAGACTCATGAATCTCTAACTAGAATAATCACTGTGAAAAACCATATCATGTTGCTGCTGATCTGTTTCATGTTGCTGCTGATCTGTTTCAATGTTGATGTGTTCATGCGTGCACATCTGCTCACAGACTCATGTTCATGTTTGTGCTGATGTTCAATGTTTTATGTTATGAGTGCTTAGTGTATATTTAGTTGATGTTTTTCTTAGTTCATATCTTAGATGTTATTACTGTTTTTCTTTTACATTTTATTGTTGGATGTAACTGGGACCCTGTGTACATAATTTCGCTCCACCACATGTACCACATGAGGTGCGAATGACAATAAAGAAACTCTGACTCTGACTCTCTGACTCTGATATATACCCAATTTGGTATTTAATAAGATTGGGGGACTTCATTTTCTCTTACAATGTGATTTTGAGTTTAGCAGATTGCCTGTGGAACTTTCAGATTTTCATAAACTTTACTGGAAACTCATTTTCAGTCATAATTTCACACCACACATTACACCTGTGTGGAACAATAGGTACATTCTGATTAATAAAAAATCAATATTTATTGGGGAATGGTGTTCTAAAGACGTGTGGGCCGTGGCCCATTTTATGGACAATGAAGGAAACGTTTTACAATATCAGGAGTTCTGTAAAAAATTTCAGTTCCATTGTGATGAGATTAAATATAACCAAATTTTAAAAATATTCCAGTCTCTCTTAGGGCAAGATATTATATTCTCTGATATTTCCCCTGGTCTGAAACAACTCTGTATTGATGGAGTTGCTTTCTCTGACTATCAATGGAACAATAAATGTTTGAGAAACAAACTACTGCATCACTTCTCTCCTAACTTAATTAGGAGAGAATATATTCTGAAGGACTTTAGTAAAGAAGACATCAAAAAGATCAGAACTAATTTTATTTCATTTCCGGTTCCTCCTAAAGCCAAATAAATTCAATTTAAAATCTTAAATAGAATTTATCCTACTAAGGAATTTTTAAGGACAAAATTTAAAATGGACACTGGGAACTGTGTTTTCTGTGAGACAGAGAGTGAGAACCTGGAACATCTTTTCTTTGATTGCATGATAGTTCAGAAATTTTGGCTTGATTTTAAAATGTGGATCGAATCCAAAGGGATTCAGCTACTTACTCTCACTTTAAAAGAAATCAAATTTGGGTTCATTAATAAGATTGGAAATAATGAATATGCTATCAATAATTTGATTATATTAGCTAAACATTATGTTCATAAATGTCGCTTTTTCAAATGTAAACCTAATGTGAACCACTGGAAGAATGAGATAAAGTCCTGTGCAAAATCATTAAAATATGTAAAAGGGAAAAATGCTGACAAATTTCTTAGTTTCTTAATTAATTTCAATTTCCTCTTATAATGTTTTTTTTTTCTCTCTCTCTCTTTATCCTTCTTTATTTCTTTTATTTCCATTGTGTTATGAATCATCTTTTATAACTTTCGATTGTAAGATTTGGTACTGTTTGTTGTGTATTGTTATGGTTCAATAAAGTAAAAAAAAATTTGGTCATTATAACTTTATTAACAATACAAAACAGAACAATACAACAGAATATAAATACAAACTTTTGTTTTTGTCTTTCTTGAAAGGAAAAACACAAAACGTACTACAACAAGGCATACAACAAAAAACAAGTTCCCATTTGACATGATAAAAACTAAGCAGAAATTATGAATAGAAATATAATAAAGAAAGAAAATGAACAATTTGAGGAAACAAACCAATAAATGTTACAAATGCAAGAGGAGTTTCAAGTCTTAAAATAAGCTAGTAATATATTGGTATAAAGATTGGGTTTGAAGATCCTTAAATGACATGATTTCACTTGACTTGGACAGAGGGGAGCACCCTGTAAAGATGAAACCGTCAGCTGCTCTCATGATGAACAGATGATGGGTCCAGTACCAACAGGTAGAGGCTGATAATCCACAGCAAATAGCAAGGCATGGTCCTTACTTAGTTCAGATCAGACTGATTGTCCTTTAGGTTGCTATTTTGTTTTGATTGTTTTTGTTAAAAAAAAAAAGAAGAGAGAAACTTTAGTTTGTATACGTACCATACCCATACAATTTTATTTATAGAGCACTTAAACAGCAACAAGGCCAAACAAAGTGCTGTACAGACAGAACAACAGGTAACACACGAAGCAATATACAAAATGAAGTAAATCAAAAATCTATGCCTATTTTATGACTGTCTATTGTTGTTGTTGTTATTCAGTGTTGTCATCATTCTTTAAGAAATCAGGTCTCTCTTGTAAATGAGTCCCCAAGGCTCAATGGGATTAACCTGTCTAAATAAAGGTTGAATGAAAAAAAAAAAAAAAAAAAAAAAATATATATATATATATATATATATATATATATATATACAAAGTATATTTTCACTTAAAAAAAACTGAATATGGGGTAATTTTCAGGAAACAGCATTTGTGGCTGCACTTTTTTATAGTAGCAGCTTCGTGCACTCCACCCATCTTTCGGACGACTGTACGTACGTGTTCTCGTTGTATCTCGATGCAATGACAATAAAGCTTATTCTGATTCTGGTCTGTACTCATCCCTTTAGTTGGCAGCTCAGAACACCACATACAGAACACCATGGACTTTGTGGATAAGGTGAGGGATGTCATCATGGAGACTGATGAAACAATGGTCTCTTTTGATGTTACATCACTCTTTACGTGCATTCCTGTTGATGATGCAGTAGAGGTGGTCAGTTTAAAATTAAAATCAGACACCACTCTGAGCAGCAGGACCACGCTTTCCACAGAACAACTGTGTCAACTCTTGAAACTGTGCCTGCAGTCAACCTACTTCACATATGGGGAGCAATATTATAGGCAGAAACATGGGTGTGCCATGGGGTCTCCAGTTTCTCCTATTGTTGCCAACCTGTACATGGAGGAGGTAGAAAAGAGAGCCTTGACGTCCTTTTCAGGGACACCACCAAGTCATTGGTTCAGGTATGTTGACGACACCTGGGTTAAAATTAAATCTCAGGAAGTCCAACATTTTACTGACTACATCTTCTCGTGTGAACTTGATGTATTTATCCACAGAGTTGATGTGGTCAGTAAAATGTTGGACTTCCTGAGATTTAATTTTAACCCAGGTGTCGTCAACATACCTGAACCAATGACTTGGTGGTGTCCCTGAAAAGGACGTCAAGGCTCTCTTTTCTACCTCCTCCATGTACAGGTTGGCAACAATAGGAGA